GGGTTACAATTACATGGGCAAGATAATGAGTACATTTCTTATCTCCCTTATATTTTTTTATATCTCTGGCTTTGACTCTGTGAGTCAGAATGAAAACAAAATTCCAAAGTCCCTTTCACCATTTCACCATGTATGATTAGGTTACACTCAGGTAACCCTTGTCCCATATTCCTGCTTAAAATTACACTTTTATTGACATGTCAACTGTATTTACCTGTAGGGTACAGTGTAATATTTAACAAAGTATTTCATGGGGCAACCAGTGTATCTATCAGATCCAAGTATTGTGTCTCAATCAAATGTACATATTAGTTCCAAGTATTCTCTATCATCAAGTGTATCTCTCAATTCCAAGTATTAATTACTTTTGTGTTAAGAACATTTAAAATCCTTTCTACTATTTTAAAATATGCAGAGAATTATTGTCAACTGTAGTTATCCACCCATGCTGTGGAATAGTAGAAGTGATTCCCCCTGCCCCATGTGCCACTCTACTGCTCCTGACTGTCAAGAGGTACCCATGCAGTGATATCTCAGAATATTGTTTATTAAGTAATTAATATTCCAGTTACTACCATGAGGTGAAGAATGAGTTTAACCCAAGGTCATAGCTAAGCCCCAGTTTGTTCCCTGAGCCTCCACGATTTACTTCTGTTTTTTTTTTTTTTTTTATTGTTCTGTTTTGTTTTGCCAGTCCTGGGGCTTGAATTCAGGGCCTGAGCACTGTCCCTGAGCTGCTTTTGCTCAAGGCTAGCACTCTACCACTTGAACCACAGCACCACTTCTGGCTTTTTCTGTTTACATGGTACTAAGGAATCAAACCCAGGGCTTCATGCATGCTAGGCAAGCACTCAAACACTAAGCCACATTCCTAGCCCAACCTCTACTATTATAGGTTCAAATTAGGGCAAACTTAAGAATGTGACAGAAGGGGCTGGGAAGGTGGCTCAGTGGTAGAGCGCTTGCCTTGCATGCCTGAGGCCCTGGGTTCGATTCCTCAGCACCACATAAGCAAAAAGAAAAAAAAGCCGGAAGTGGCGCTGTGACTCAAGTGGTAGAGCATTTGCCTTGAGCTGAAGAGCTGAGGGACAGCGCCCAGGCCCAGAGTTCAGGCCCCACAACTGGACCCCCCCCCAAAAAAAAAAAAGAATGTGACAGGAAAACAGACAAAAGGGCACATTTCAAGGAGGAGATAACAAAAAGTTAGGAAGCATTGACACAGTTTTGATAAGGGATCCAGAAGTTTCCTCACTAAGATAAGTGTATCCAGGGTCTGTGTCTCTCAACAGGAATGAATGCAGAAGGTCAAGTACTCTGAATGCCGTGTCTTCCAGCCACTGGTTTCCCCCTGGTCTCATTCCTTCTTCAAGCACACAGTGCAGTCTCCTGCAACCTGTCATGGTCCCCGTGGGGTTCTAGGCTTCCACACCAATTGACCTGTTAACCGTGCTCTTACATGTTTGCCAGCCTCTAATAACCACTATCACGTTCTCCACTTCTCTGATGTCATCTTTCCACCTTCCACATATAAGGGACCTCATGTGATACCTGGCTTTCTGTGCCTGACTTATTTCATGTAACAAAACAGTCTCCATTTCCATTCATGTTCCTATAAATGATAGTGTTAATTTATTTTGTGTATATATGTCATGTTTTCTTTATCCATTTATGCCTCTGTGGACACCGGGATTGATTCTGTAAAAGTGCTACAACAAATAAGCAAATGCAGATGTCTTCAGTATACTGATTGCAGTTCCTGTGGTGATAGATAACCATTATTGGGACTGTTAGATTCGGAGTTCTAGTCTCAGTGTTTTGTTTTATTTTTGGTGAGGGACTTCTCTGCCATTTCTTATAATGGGTGTTCTAATTTACATTCTCTTCACTGATGTAGGAGAATTCAACAACTTTCTTAGCATCTTTGTCAGTATTCATTATTTTTTGTCTTTTTTTTTTGGTTGTGGGGCTTGAACTCTGGGCCTGGGCACTGTCCCCGAGTTCTTCAGCTCAAGGCTAGTGCTCTACCACTTGAGCTAGAGCCCCATTTCCAAAATTCTGGTAGTTTATTGGAAATGAGAGTCTCATGGACTTTCCTGACTGGGCTGACTTTGGATTGTGATCCTCAGGTCTCAGCCTCCTGAGTAGCTAGGATTGCAAGCATGAGGTACTGGTGCCTGGCTATTTTTTTGTCTTCTATTCTAACTGGGATGAGATGAAATCTTACTGTGGATTGGATCTACATTTCCCTGATGGATAGTGATGTTGAGCATTTCTTTAGGTACTTTATGGCCATTTGAAAAAATGTACTCTCTTTTGTCATGTGCTGATGACCCACACCTGTCATTCTAGCTACTAAGGAGGCTGAGATCTGAGGATCGTGATTCAGAGCCAGTTCAGGCAGGAAAGTTTATGAGACTTATCTCCATAAGTTACTTAGAAAAAGCTAGAAGTGGTGCCTTGGCTCAAATGGTAGAGCACTAGCTTCAAACAAAAGAAGCTCAGGAACAGAGCCCAGGCTCTGAGTTCAAGCTCTAGGAATGGTGTGTGTGTGTGTGTGTGTGTGTGCGCGCGCGCGCGCACACACACACACACAGATACACAGTACCCTCTTTGAACAAATGTTCTGGTCACTTATCCATATTTAAATTGAATTATTTATCATTATTACTATTTATTTGAGTTCTCTATATATTTTCTGGAAATCAATCCTTTGTCAGATGAGCAGTTTGAAAATATACTCACCTATTCCTTAGGTTCTCTCTTCACTGTTTATCATTTTATTTTCTCTTCAGAAGTTTTATGTAACTCCATTTGTCTTTTTTTTTGTTTTGCTGTCTGTGCTACTATTTATTTATTTTTATTTTTTTATTGTGAAAATACTGTACAGAGGGATTACAATTACATGGGCAAGATAATGAGTACATTTCTTATCAAGCATTGTAGCCTCCTCCTTTGTTTCCCCTTCCCATCCCTTCCCAACCTCCCCCCCCACCCCCCCCATCCTCCCCGCTACTCCCTCCCCCCCACCCCCGCACCAAAGTTGTAAAGTTCATTTTTCGACATAACGACTTGTCTATGCTACTATTTAAAAGAAAAAACAAAACACCTAACACCAATGTTCTAAAGTATTTCCTCTACATTTTTTCTAGTGGGACTTGTAACATTCCATAACCAGCCCTCAGTTGTATGGGATAGACTTGGAATTGTACTGTGGCGTGGCTTCCTTCAGAAGAGATTAGAGTCTAGGAATAATGGGTGCATTTGTGTTTGATGGCTTGGAGTGTGGTCCATTTTTCTTGGTTCCATCCTAACTCATTTCCCTCTGGGATAGCTATATTTCTCTAGCTATAACAATAGAGTTGGATCCATCTTTGCTTTCCTAACTTAATTCATCTGATCTGCACTCTAGGCTCCTGGGAATGTCCTCTAGGGAAAGACTAATTGAAGTCTTTGTGCTGTTACAGACAAACAGGTAAACAAGGATTAGGCTACTTGAAGGTTGTGGTAAGTGCTGGGACCCTGTGGAGGTGAAAATAGGGTAATTTGGTGAGTTAAGTGTAGTGTGTTTGAGGTTGGATGGTCAGGTTATCTCACCTTGTTGAGGAGGTGGCATTTGACAGATTTACACCTCTACTACATGGAGGGGATGTGAATTGCACTTTTTGTATGGGCAACAATAGATGTGAGGCAAACAGGTTTTTCTTGCTTAAGGAATGGGAAATAGGTCAATCTGGCTAGATAGCCCTGGAGCAGAGAGTGGACAGGGAATGAATTGAAAGGATCAGCAGATAATGCAGTGTGCTGGGAGCTAGTGATCATTTTAGAGGTAATGCTAAATGAAATGAGGAGCCATGAAGAGATTTGATAGTAAGACATAGGAATGTATTATGCTGCTCTGTGGGGTAACAGAATATAACACACAGCAAGAAAGGCAGGAAAGCAGTTCAGGGACTATTTATTGAGGGCAAAGATTCTCATTCTTTATGCATTGGGTTTTATTTCAAGGGTGCTTCTGCCTTAGAAATCAGTTTTAGATGACTGAGGGCTTAGGAGGACTCTAAAGCTTGGTAGTATGACCATTCATTTTCTTTCTCATTTATTCATCTGTCATCCATCCATCATCCATTCATCCATCCCACAAAGTTTATTAAAAGACTATTATTTGTCAAGTCAAGTACCAGACATCTAGTTTGTTTGTTTGTTTTTGTCCTTAGAGCCACTCGTAGTCTATTTGGGGACATAATAAATAGGGTACCTTGCTGTAAAGGTTGAAATAGGGGAATGTGTACAGTGGAGATAGAGGAGATAACCAAGGTAGGATTCAGTGACATTTGCCAAATAATAATAGCTACTATTGCTAAAACTTTCTCTAGGGCTTAGCATTGCAATCTGAAACTTTATATTCATATTATCTTACTTAATCTTTCTCCCAGCCTACTTGGCAAGATAGTGTAATCCTCACCTCTTGGATCAGGACATACATATGCAAAGAGAACCAGGTACTGGTGACTCATGCCTGTAATCCTAGCTACTCAAAAGACTAGATCTCAGGATCTTGGTTCAAAAGCAGCCCTGGCAGGAAAGGCCATGAAACTCTTTATCTCCAATGAACCAGAAGTGGTGCTGTGGCTCAGAGTGGTAGAGTTAGCCTTGAATTCAAAAGCTCAGGGACAGTGCCCCATAACCAACCAAAACATAAAAAATTCAAAACAAAACCACACAATATCCAGAAATGCAAAGAGATTTAAAACAACCATAAAGGTTAATAACCTAGTCACACAGCATATCAGCTACAGTCTCAACAGTCACACCCATCTATATACCTCCAAAGCCTATGTCCTGAATTACCCTGTTTCTCTATTTTTTTTTTATAATGACTATGATTTTTGTTGTAAAATGTATGTCCAGCTCTTCTCTCCAGAGGAAAGTCTCACCATTAGTTCTTATACAGAGATGTATAGGATTTGCAAAACAAACAAACAAAAACCATTTGTCAATCATTCTGTGAACTTTTTGTGATCTTTTATTTTGGAGTAGAGCTTTAGGCAAGACAAATCATACACAAGGAAGCAAGGCCAGAAAGAAGGGGTGCACTGAGGACAGCGAGCGTTGGGAGAGCGGCTGGCATAGGATGTAGAGAGTGAAGGGTGCAGGGACTGTGCTCTTGATAGGATGGGGTTCAGCAGGCCAGCATCATGTATCATATTGTGGATTTCTTACAACTTGGAGAGCTGAATCAGGTCCCGGTTGATCTCAGCAACTGATCGGCAGCCTAAAACAGCCACTGAGTTAAAAGGCTCATTTTCCCCATTTCCTAGCACCATGCAGTTAAAAACAAGCCTTTGATCTTGGTGCTTATCTGATAAAATGCAAGACCAGGGTGAATAATTTTGTCCTGATTGTATTGGGAATTATTTTAAGGCCCTATGTCTACATCACATTTTAATCCAGTTATCTCAAAATGTCAGAGTAGAAACATAAAAAAAATTCCTTAGCATTTTTAACAACCAACTTCTACGTGCTTTAGTAATCCTTGACCTTTAGCTCCATTCTGATAAGGAACAGGGCCAATGGAAAGCATCTGCTAGGGAGAAATGGGTTCAAGGGTGGCACAGGAGATAGTGTGAACACTCCATTCAGCAACTGCCTCTGGCAAGTTCTGCCAGAGGAAATGATCCTTCTTTGCTAGGAGATCTTAAATAAGACACAAAGCTAAGTCTGTAGCAGAGATTGAAGAGTCACAGCAGACAAGAAATGAGCCAGGAGAAAGCAGAGTATGGGGCTGGAGAGTTGTAGATCCCAGAAGACTGTGTGCTGTCCTCAGGGATAAGGATAAAACAACATAGAAACAAGCTGTGTGATATTGAACTGGAAGGTCTTTCCGTTTCTACAATGCAGGGACCTTAATAACATAATATTAACAAAGTGTATTCTTCACCAAGGTTCTAGCTGAAAGTCCTTTCTTAAAAATAACTTGAACTGGAATGAATAGGAAGGCAGAAAGGGAGACAGTCTATAATTCAAAGTCACTTAGAAGAAACAGGAATTGAGAGCAAGGGTTGATTTTTCCAAGAAATGGCAGTGTTTATTTATTTATTTTGCCAGTCGTAAGGCTTGAACTCAGGGCCTGGGCACTGTCCCTGAGCTTCTTTTGATCAAGGCTAGCACTCTACCACTTGAGCCACAGTGCCACTTCAGCTTTTTCTGTGTATGTGGTACTGAGGAATTGAACCCAGTGCTTCATGCATGTGAGGCAAGCACTCTACCACTAAGCCACATTCCCCGCCCACAGCAGTGATTTTTGAGGCAAGTTTTGAGTTTCCATTGGCAGAGAATACTGCTTGATCTTTGTCTGGGACCTTTCTTCCCTGTTTTGGGGATGGCCACTAGGCCAGGTAAAGGCTGGTTGGATGGAAGGGCTGCTTCCTTGGAAGCTCTCACTCAGGAAAAAATTAAGAACTTACCTGTAAGGGCCATAGACGTGTGGAACTCATCTTTTAAAATATTCAAAACTTCTGCAACACCTTTTTCACCCTGCTCTCAAGACAGAAAATGCGTAAGGGAAGGAAAAAACAAACAAAAGTCTTGAAGGCACATTCTGATTATTTGTCAAATATGAATATATATATATATATGAGAGAGAGGGAGAGAGTGCTGTGATAGGGAGGCCAGAGATCTACAAAAAGCAGTTCCGTTGGAAGCCAGGCACCGGTGGCTCACGCCTGTAACCCTAGCTACTCAGGAGGCAGAGATCTGAGGATCACGGTTCAGCCAGCCTGGGCAGGAAAAGTCTGTGAGACTCTTCAATAAACCACTCAAAACCAGAAGTGGCCCTGTGGTAGGAGTGCTTGCCTTGCATGCATGAGGCCCTGGGTTCAATTCCGCAGTACCACATAAGCAGAAAAAGCCAGAAGTGGCGCTGTGGCTCAAGTGGTAGAGCGCTCGCCTTGAGCTGAAGAGCTGAGGGACAGCGCCCAGGCCCAGAGTTCTGGCCCCATGACCGACAAAAAAAAAAAAAAAAAATCAGTTCCATTGGGAAGAAAGAAAAGCAAAGAAAAAGGTAAGGGTGAGAGCTGTGGAATGTTTGTGGGTCAAGAGAGAGGAGCTGTGGTGGGAGTAATTATCCTTCAGGTACCTTGGGGGAAAAAATGGCTACATTGGAGGGTGAACCACAGAAAAGCCTGGAACAAAGGAGAAGCTGGAGATCTTGCCATCTATCCCCACTCAGCCCCTCTCACCTTGCAGGCAAGGCCCCACAGGATCGGCCTCCCAAGAAAAATGCACTTAGCCCCAAGGGCCAGGGCTTTCAACACATCGTTGCCAGTTCGAACTCCACCGTCCAGGTATACTTCCACTCTCCCTTTGACAGCGGCTGCCACTTCTGCCAGGGCGTCAATCTGAAAGAGAGAGAGGTGTGCAGCCACCAGGTATGATATGTTGACTCTGGTGCGAGGGCCTGAGAAAGTGGGAGAGGAAGTATGGGCCAAGGCTAGGCCCAAGGCTGCTGCAGCTCATCAAGGCAGAAACCTCAGTCCTGAGGCCCAGGAGAGTCTCTGGACTCCACCTCCTGCCATTTTCAGCTTCACCTCCAGTCCAGATTCTTGCTGACTTGTATTTCAGTGTGTATGTGCCAGTACTGGGGGCTTAATCTCGGGGCCTGGGCACTGTCCTTGCCTTTTTCATTCAAGGCTAGTGCTTAAGTCACAGGTCCATTTCTGGCTTTCTTCGGGTGAATTAGGGATAAGGGTCTCATGGGATTTTCCCAACCAGGCTCAGATCTCAGCCTCCTGTAGCAAGGATTACAGGCATGACTCACTAGTCCCTTTGCTGACTTTTAAAGCCTTTTAAGTTTCTTTCTGAAGAAATGCTTGATTTCTCTGCTATCCTGATAGAAATATTTTCCATCTATAATGCTCATTTTAATAGGAAAGAACATGTTGGCCTTTAATTTTCTTCTACTATTTCTGTTTCTAGGGTGGCATAGTTAGAAATTTCCTCCCTACTTGGGCTCTCAAAGTTTCTTTTCTTTTCTTTTTGTCTCCCTTTTAGCAAAAGAAGTATGGCAGCCAGGGCCATCTTGAGGAACTAGGCCACACGTTATTCCTTACCCTACCTCCAGTGACCAGTTAGTTCCTGAAATGGAGATAGGAATGTGGCAACAGCATTGTGAAAGTGGAATCTAAGCCTTTCAAGGACAAAAATCAAAGCAGTTGATGATTGCTTTGGCTTGGATTTGGGAACTGAGGCCGAGTGGCCTTGACTCTTCCAAGGCAGCTGCTTCCACACCATTATCTTGACACTTTAAAGTAGGTGACAGGAGCCTCTGGGGTGGGGGGGGCCTTGGAGGCAGGAGTTTCAGCAGGGAGTTATGAACTGCCTCAGTCTTCTGGAATGCTCTGAGGAAGGCACTGGAGAACAGTGGAAATTGAACCCTTGGAGCCTTCTTCCTCTGTGTGTGTGTGTGTGCGTGTGCGTGTGCGTGTGTGTGTGTGTGTGTGTGTGTGTGTGTGTGTCGGTACTAGGGCTTGAATTCGCCCTGGGCACTGTCCCTTCGCTTTTCGACTCAAGGCTGGTGTTCTACCACTTGAGCCATAATTCCACTTCTGGACTATTTTGGTGGTTCATTGGAGATAAGAGTCTTACGAACGGGGCTGGGAAGGTGGCTCAGTGGTAGAGCACTTGCCTTGCATGCCTGAAGCCCTGGATTCGATTCCTCAGCACCATATAAGCAAAAAGAAAAAAGCCGGAAGTGGTGCTGTGGCTCAAGTGGTAGGGTGCTAGCCTTGAGCTAAAGAGCTGAGGGACAGCACCCAGGCCCAGAGTTCAGGCCCCATGACTGGATCCCCCCCCCCCCCCCAAAAAAAAGAGTCTCACGAACTTTCTTGTCTAGGCTGGCTTCGGACTGAGATCCTTAGATCTCAGCCTCCTGAGTAGCTAGGAAGACAGGTGTGAGTCATTGGCTCCTGGCTTTTTGGCAGTATACCTCATTAGCTTTAGACTAATCCTTATCCTTTCCCAAATAACTTGGCTCCTGGAGAGGAACCTACTGCTTGTTGCTCTCATTAGGAGAATTCGCCTGCCTCTTTCTCCACATATTATTCAAACATCCTAAGGAAGCAGGCCCTGCTAAATTGACAAATGGCAGCTTGATGCTTATTATATAGTCTTGATCTTGGTTTTCTTCCAAAAGCCTTTCTTCTACTGTGATTGCTGCTTTCTGTTCCTATCTGGTGAGTGCTTTGGGACCACTCACAGCTGGCCCAGCAGTTTTGCCTTCTCTGATCTGCCTGTTATTGGGTGTATGGGAAAGGACATGGTGAGCATCTTTCAGCCGCTTTCCCTCATCTCCAGTCATGGGACATGTGTGGGGATGGGAAATGGGCAGCCTAACCATTCCCTTCAATCCAGCCCTTGCCAGGGAGAGACGGTAAGGATGTCCACGGCTCTCCGCATGGCCTGCTGTTCACTTCACCTTTTCTCCACTAGCAAGTGCATGGGAGGAGGAGAGCAGTGGTCATCGCTAAGTGTCACAGGCTGGGGAATGTCCCCGTGGGCTACTGTAGCATTCCAACTGCTTTGGAAGAGTTGTCTTCAATAGGTGATTGGGAATGTACTAAGGATTTTTAACTTTATAAGAATAGTCACTGAAATACTGTTGAAAATAGTAAAAGAAAAAGCCAGGTGTAGTGGCATATATCTGTATCCCAAGAGGCAAAGGAAGAAGGATTGAAAATTTGAGACCATCCTGGCTTACAGAGCAATACCTTGGAGAGAAAGGGTGGAGGCAAGGAAGGAGGGAAAGAAACAGAGCGAAAGACCAGAGGAATGCAGCTATCTAACAACAGGAAGTTGATATAAATTGTCCACTCATAAGACACATCATTAAAGCTAAAAGAGGCACATGTTGAAGCAAAAAGATATTCCTAATACATTTTTAAATGAAAAAGAAGGGAATTCTAAAATAACTACCCATAGTTTTTTAAGTGGGAAAAGGTTATGTTTGGATTAACAAATACCGATATATTGACATTTGTGATAGTGATGAGATTAGGGAGTGATTTTTTTTTTTACCTTTTTGCTTATGTGTATTTTATAATTTATCTGAAGTGAATATAAATTTATGAGTTAGGGAAGCAAATGATATATAAGTTGTTACAGATTCATTAGCATCTCTGGTTCCCCCTTGAATGAGTTATTCATTAGCAAAGTGAAGCCCTGCTTCTTTCTGGCACCAGTCAGAAGGTTACATGAGGTTCCAGCGATTGAAGCAGGCCTCCACTGGAGCTGGGCAGGGCCTGAGGCTTCTGTTCTACCTCGACCTCTTATTATCTATTGTGAATGTGGACAAGTTACTTGACCTCAGCCTGAGCCCCAGCCTCCCCATTTGGCTCAGATGGAGGGGTGAGACACAGATAGCCCGGTGCACCCTGGCCTATTCTCCACGACTGACTGTCCCCAGAGGCAGCCGGTGGTGCTGGAGAGAAGATCCCGCAAGGCACTAGGGTGTGGACACACTGCACTCCTGGCCTCTCCCCTCTGAGCCCCACCACTTACTGAAGCAGGAACTTCATCAAGCTGCCTCCCTCCGTGATTGGAAACAAAGATGCCTTGGACCTTGTGCTCCACTGCTAACTCCGCATCCTCTCTTGTCAGGATCCCTTTAAGGATGATGGGTAGTCGAGTGATATTCTGAAGCCAAAGGATTTGATCCCAGCAGAAGCGTGTGCTCATGGACGTCAGCAGAGCGGAAGACTTAGGGTTTGTCTGTGGGAAATAAGAAGGTAACTCTTAGGACTACTTGGCCCATTGCAAAGATGAGATACATTCTGGGATGTTACTTATCAGCTTAAAATGAAGAGAACAAAGCTGGGTGCCTGTGGCTCAAGCCTGTCATCCTAGCTACTCAGGAGGCTGAGATCTGAGGATCACAGTTCAAAGCCAGCCAGGGCAGGAAAGTAGGTGAGATTCTAATCTCCAATAAACCATCAGAAAAACCAGAAATGGCACTGTGGCTCATGTGGTAGAGAGCTAGCCTTGAGCTGAAGAGCTGAGGGACAGCACCCAGTTCAAGCCCCACAACTGGAAAAAAAAATCAAGAATTGGTGGCTCATGCCTGTAATCCTATCTACTCAGGAAGGCTGAGATCTGAGGATGCTGGTTCAAAGCTAGCCTGGGCAGATAAATCTAAAAGACTCTTTTCCAGTTAACCAGCAAAATGCTAGAAGTGGAGGTGAGACTCAGGTGGTATAGCACCAAAGTGAGCAAATAAGCTAGGGAAGAGCATGAGGCCTTGGATTTAAGCTCCAGTAGCAGTGTGCGCGCACGTGTGCGCACGCGCGCACACACACACACACACACACACACACACACACAAAGTGAAACAAAATCAAACACTACATCCTGGGAAAAATCTGTATAAAGGAATTCCTACTATCGTTAATATTTGTTTATAATCATATCCTTGCTCCATAATTATGCCAAAATCTAGAGGTACAAAGATGGGTACAACAGAATCTATAATTTAGAAGAATTTGGAGTTTAGTATGTGAGATGAATAAACAAAAGTATTCATAGGCCATTTAAAAGGGTTTTTTTAAGTTGTTTTTGTCTGTTGTGGGCCTTGAACTTAGGGCCTGGGCTCTGTCCCTGAGCTCTTTTGTTCAAGGCTAGCACTTTACTACTTTGAGCCACAGCTCTACTTCTGGCTTTTGAGTGGCTAATTGGAGATAAAGTCTCATAGGGACTTTTCTGCCTGGGTTGGCTTTGAACTTCAAGCCTCAGATCTCAGCCTCCTGAGTAGCTAGGATTACAGGTGTAAGCCACGGCACTTGGCTCATTTAAAAATTTTTACCACACTTTGTTTTTTGTTTAATCAAGTATACAAAGGACTTTCAGTTTAATAAGCCAACTCATGTGTACAGGGCTTCCATCATCATGTAATAATATACATAGACACACATACATACATTGAATATTACGATTATATTTCTCTACCTCCACTCTTCTTATTCATCTGCCTCTTTCCCGACTGCCTTAGTAAGTCCTATCTTTCAACTTCCTGCTTTCATTTTGTTTAACTGCACTGCCTGTTAAGTGTTCAAAAGAGTTCTACCTTGGGAATCTTGCTTCTACAGGTACCATCATCATTTAGTCAGTTTGATTGTGTATGTCTATTTATGGCCTGTCTATTGACCTGGTCTGGTTGAGATATGCACAGGCTAGTAAGACCTACACAATACTTCAAGAATTGTAACCCATATATTATCAAATATATACCATTGGTTCACAAAGGGCACGGCATGAGCCTTGCAGTCACTCAGCCCCTGGAAGCTGGAGGAACATGATGGAGACCAGTCGGTGGTGAAGAGCTGTTGAGTATCTTGCCAGAGACCCCACAGTTGCCCAATGGCTGAAAACATTGTCACCTCTATCTCTATTGAAGCTTAGGGATCTCTACGCTACCCTGGCATCCTCTCTGGGGCACGCCACTCCTTTCAACCTTAGCATTTTAAAGGAGTAGTTACTTCCTTCAAAAGAGATGTGCTGTGGCTCTCTTGTGTTTCCAGGGCTGAGTTTTAAGGGCACAGCAATGTTGATCGCTTGGTTTTCAGGGACACAGGGCCGGGCCTGGGTGATTGGCTTGACTTGCCACACACCTGGGCTGGGCTGGGAGCTCCTCTTTGCCAGCCGGTGATGCATGTGTGCCCCTTCGACATGATCGCTCTGTAAATATGCCTCTAAGGGGAAAAGCTAAGAAGAAAATGTATTTCGTTTACTCCCCAGACTTTTCCCTTTTCTCAGTGTGTGGCCCAAACACCCTTGGTGACAGGTTGGGCAGATCCACGGGTGACAAGATTAAATTCTACTTATGGGGGGCCCAGGAACCAGACCTGCTTTTTTTGGGGGGGGGTCCGGTTGTGGGTACTGAACTCTGGGCCTGGGCGCTGTCCCTCAGCTCTTCAGCTCAAGTCTAGCGCCCTACCACTTGAGCCACAGCACCACTTCCGGCTTTTTTCTTTTTGCTTATGTGGTGCTGAGGAATCGAACCCAGGGCCTCATGCATGCAAGGCAAGTGCTCTACCACTGAGCCACCTTCCCAGCCCCAGATCTGCTTTTTGAACTGCTCCATGCCCAGTGTCTGGAAGGGGTAGATATTCACTAAGTACCTGTGGACATGAGCAAGGAAAGGAAGGGGAAAGAATTTGCCTTCCTTAGCGCCTGCTCTTGAGTCTAGTGTACTTCCTACCTTATCAGGAGATTGGAAATTCTTTGGCGTTAAGTTCCCCCTCAAATGTATTTGGTTTCTCAGGTCTTGGCGCCTTTTGCCAAGGATGGGGCTATCCACAGTGACCACCAAAGCTTTGAAGCCTAGAGATTCTGCCCTCTGGACCAGCTGTCTGTTCAGCTGCCAGTCTGATTGCACAGAGAGTTGGAACCACCGTAGTCCTCTGGGAGCAGCAGCCACAATGTCTTCCATAGTGTGGCTGGAGTAGGTGCTGGTGACATAGCAGATGTTGGCTGCCTGGGCGGCTGCAAGGCAAAGGACAGGCCTCTCTCAGGGTGAAGGGCAGAGGCGTAGGGGCTGAGCGGCTTTGAGGAGCCTGTGCTGTGCGCCTGTGCTGTGCAGGCGCAGATGGAGCTTCCCTCCCGTGGGGCAGAGGCCGGAGATGACTCAGTGAGCCGGAGAAGCTGTTCAGGGCCCCTTCTCTCTCCCCTGCCTTACAAGCCTTGTCTGAGACAAGCAGAAAAGGTCAGATAAGCTGATGTTAGGTGAAATGAACTCCAAGATAAGTATTCAAATGTTTTTTTCTTTCAGGTGATTGTTTCTAACATATTTATAAGATGATTTCTTGTTGCTTTGCATGTCCCTCCCCCACGGTATAACCCCTGCTTTCACAGTATATTTGATGTTGGTATAATTTGTGGAGGGGAAGGGAAAAAACAAATCGTTTAAATAGGGTTACAGGTGGACCCATTGCAACAATGAGATGTACAAGTCCTTATGTCGAAAAACAAACTTTACAACTTTGGGGAGGGGCAGTGTGGGGGATGGTTGGGAGATGGGAAGGGATGGGAAGGGGAAACAAAGGAGGAGGCAACCATGCTTGATAAGAAATGTACTCATTATCTTGCCCATGTAATTGTAACCCCTCTGTATGGTATTTTCACAATAAAAAAAAATGCTCTCCATGTAATTCCCTAGACGAGGTCAGGTTCAGACAGGAAAGCCAACTTAGGCATTCCTTAGGGAAACACAGGGGAATTAGAGGAGGGGGAGTGTCATTCCAGTGGGTAGAATAAGCAGACGGGATTAGAAGAGTGCTGGAAGCTTTCTCTTTCCCACTTTGCTTTCTAGGCTCCCACTAGGCTCCTGAGAAAGAAATTTTGGAGCTTCTGCTGCTGCCCCGAGGGAGATCCGGCATCCTTGCCCTACCTCGGGCTGTGCTCACTTCTCCATCATGCCAGGCGATACAGTGGAAGGCTGTGGGTGAGATGCAAATGGGGGCGCTGATCTCTTCCCCCTGGATGGTGGTCCTGGTGTCCACCTCTGACACATCTCTCAGGTACCTGGGACGGAGACGGATTCTGCACGAGACAAGAAGTTCTGTCAGAAGAGTTTGCTTCCCATCACGGCAGTGTAGTCTTAGAGCTAGGGACCCCCAATTCCTGGTACAGGTCTACACTACGATTAGTGTTTCTACGGATGGGTTTCAAAGGCCTGGCTGGTCCTGTGAAAGCACGGTTGGCTGACATAGGGAGTGTAGGCCCAGCAGAAGATGCTGTTCCCAGGAGCTGTGCCCTCTGAGCAGCCAGCGCCCACCCTAGGCCTCATCTGGCAAAAGGAGTTCATGTCTTTGAGTGCTGTTTTCCTCCCTTAGACACCTTGATTGAGGAGTCAAAACAAGGACTAGAAAGGAAAGGTAGGCAGAAAGTATAGGCCCTTTTGCTCCCTGGTGCCCAGAAAGTAAGGGAAGGTCACCCAAAGAGAACAAATCCCAGAAAATGCCCATGGTTGGTTTTTTGTTTGTTTGTTTGTTTTTTCCCGGTGGTCATTTAAATAATGCCTTAGAAACAGGAAGGCGAGTTCACAGTCAGTGTGTGCAGTACGATTTTTAAGTCAAATGAACACTGAGCCTCAAAATCCAAAAACACTTGCATAAAATGCAATTTCTGTACATAAATTCAGAGTTTCTGCAAATGAGAATAAATGAACGAATAAATGAGCTTAGGAGTGAGCTGAGAGAAGTGCAGTTTTTCCAAGTGTTTTGAAGACAACTGTGATAAAGCATTTAAGACAGGAAGGCACACAGTGACTTGTGCCTTTGGGGACCCAGTTTTCCATTTTCTCCTGGCTTCTTCATCGGTCAGTAAACTTTGTATGTGAAGGACCAAGCACTGTGGATCACACAGTCTTACAGTCTGTAACATAAAAGCAGCATAGCAAAAGTAAGTGACTAAGTGGTTGTGCTCTGATAACACTTTTTGTCTAGATACTGAAATTCACCGCTCATATATTAGTCTTGTGCATGTAATGGTAAGTCAGTCAGCAGATGACATAGATGGTTCCATGAGAGTCTATCATCCAGTGATAATGTGTAGCCTTCCTAACTTGTCCATACTTTTGGTTCACACAATTATAGCATTCTCTATCAGTGCAATTCCCAGAACATATACTGGTCACTGAGTGATACACGACTAATTAATAATTTCATTAATTATTTTGGCCAGTACTGGAGTTTAAACTCAGGACCTCTCAATCTTTTTTTCTGTTTGTTGTTGCTGTTGTTAACAGCTGGTGCTCTACCACCTAAGCCATGCCTCTGACGGCTTCTTCCTTTTTTTTTTTTTTGCTAGTTCAGTGGAGATAATAGTCTCTAAGATTTGTTTTCCCAGGCAGGCTTTGAACCTTTCTTCTCAGATCTCAGGCTCCTAAGTAGTTAGGATTATAAGCATGAGCTGTAGACACCAAGGACATGACTATTTTTTTAATCCTTTTTTCTTTTTCTTTTTTTTTACTTTTTACAATGACCATTTAAAAATAACAATCCATCCATGGCATGTGCCCTATATAAAATTTAGGTAATTGGTTAGAGGTGATCCATAGCTATGGTTGGCCTGACCTATGCTCTATCCCGTGTGTGTGTGTGTGTGTGTGTGTGTGTGTGTGTGTGTGTGTGTGTGTGCGCGCGCGCGCGCCAGACTTGGCAACTTGGTTTGGGCACTGTCCCTTAACTTTCTTGCTCAAGGCTAGCATTCTACCACTGAGCTCCATTTCTGGTTTTTTGGTGGTTAACTGAGATAAGAATCTCACAGAGTTTCCTGCCTGGTCTGGCTTTGAACCATGATCCTCACATCTCAGCCTCCTAGATAGCTAGGATTGCAGGTGTCAACCAGCAGTGCCTGGCTCTATCCCTGCTTTTATTTCCTTGAATCAATCTTCTATCAACTTCATATTGTCTCTAAACCCAAGTCCTCTCTCTTAGCTTACATTTTTTCTTCCCAGGCAGGAGCTTAGGAGAGTTGGGCATATGTACCAAGCTTCTTTTGTGTGTCTAGTCACAGGTCTTCCTGGAACTCTTCTCTCTCTCTCCCTCTCCACCTCCCTCCTTCTCACTCTCTCTCTCTTTCCCACTCTCTCTCTCTCCCTCTCTTCCCCCCCCCACCTTTCATTGCAAAGTTTCTGGAATGCTTCTAAGATGAATTATCTCTGTCCATTGTCTGTCCACTCCCTCACTAGTATCCCTCCAAGATAAAAGGAGGGACCTCCATTATCGCATCTAGAGCATTCTGTACTCTTCAGAGGCAGAAACAAGGACAAACAATGCATGTTGGCTTGACAATACAAAGGATATAGAAGACCGAGCTTTTTAAATGCTGCTATGTTGTCTTGCATGGTGATGCCTTCATCCGCAGCTCCTTCAATAAAATCCCAGGACGACTTCGGCAGCTGCTCCCGGGCTTGTGCCTGAAAGTCAGTCAGACACACCAGGGGCATTTCCGGACCTTCGAAAACAAAGCCCAGGAAGAAGATTTCAGATGCAGACTTGAGAGGAAGTGGGAGGGTGCCTCATTCCAAGTTGTTTGGCTGCAGCTCTCAGCCACAGGTGTTCTTTAAGGTAATGGTGCTACCCATAAGATGCTGATCCCCAAGTCCGGAGTTCTGCGTTCTCATGCTCCATTCCTAAATTGTCACCTTTGGGTCTTTGGAGTGTCGCCTACCCCACCCTCTGCTCTGCACACGTTGCCACCAATATAGTTGAGCCCTGCCTCCTCTTAAGAGATGATTACCAGAAAAGGCATTGTTGTCTCTAGCCTCCATATTCACTTCCTGCCTCCTCTTTTCCAGCTGCCTGAGTTCTTCCTAAGATATCAGCCTGTGGATACCCTTAGTCCTTCCATGTGACCATTTCTCACTTGTAGCCTTGGGGACCTGCTTCCCTGGCTTCACATTTGGTGGCATTTCCTTGGAGTGGTCATTCAAGTCACCATGTGGAAAACTGGGACCAGAACTGATCCTAGCAAGACTTCCCGGGACCCTCTGGATGCCTGAAGTACCTGGGCTGGAGGTGACATGGTAGGGGGTAGGTGACATTTTGTCAGTCCTTGGATGGCCCTTTGGGCAGGTTGCTTAATGTAATTAGGGGGCCCAATTACCCTCACCTATGTCTTTGTAATATCAGCTATTTTTGAGACCAAGAAAACAGAATATGTTACTCGCATTTGTTCCCGTCCACAATCTGAGCTCAGTAGGTCTTGAGCTCGAAGCTTCTGATACAACTGCCCCCAGAAATAGGAAAGAGGACAAAGCTTGGGGTCACCAATATGTTTCCCCAGTTGGAGCAAGAACAGTGAGATCAGCTGCTCTGAGAAAGCTGTAGCAACTGGTTAGATTCAGTCACAGCATGCAGAAAGGCTGTCAAAAGTTCATAGTTGTAGCCAACTTGGAGAGGAGGCAGCCGTGTGAAAATCAGCCCAAGTCAGAAGAAATGAAGTAACTTTCTGTGTATGTGTGTGTGTGTGTATACACATATATACACACATATATACACACATATGTGTACACACACACACACATACACACTGGTACTTGGGTCTGGCATTCTTGCTCAGGTTTCCCCTGCATGCCTGGCATTCTTACCCCTCAACCCAGGTCTGCAGTTCAAGCTTTGCTACTTATATGGAGATAAGAGTTTAGAGGACTTGTCTGTCAGCGTAGGCTTTGAACTATGTCCCTTGGATCTCAGCCTCTTAAATAGCTCATCTGCTCTTCTAGTAGAAAAGTGTTTTTCTCTTTTTGGCGCTCTTCTTCTGAGGGTAGGCTATGGGGTTTGGCTTGTCTAATGGTCAAGGAGGCAGAAGGGCCAAATGATATGGAGGCTGCTGGAATCTTGGCTGGGGAAGAGATGGGGTAGAACTAGCATTCAGAGTCAAGCTGGAATCTGGTGAGGCTGTACAGTAAGTAGCCCAGGATCCCATCTAAGGGGCGCAAAGAAAGACCGCAGAGCGAGAGGATGTGTGGGGTCTGGAGGGAGGGGAGGAGGGGGCGTTTGGACCATAGTCACAGAACTCACAAGAACCATGTTCAGGATGGGCAAGAAATGACTGAGTCTGGATCTGACAGAGTATGGCAGTCAGACCTAATGTAATTGATTCTTACACAACCTTTGAAGGGTCACTGGATGGTTCCAATTAATGAGTCATGGCAATTTCTTACTTATAAATCTGCATACATAAAAGGGTTAATACAGTAAAATCTGAGAATATTATTTTCTGAAAGACCTGCCTTTAAGGTCAGACCTTGGTCTGTCTCTTAAAAAAAATGTAGATTTCAGCCAAACTCCAACTATTTCCTGATTTGTACTCAGCATCTGCTTTCCTCTGGGGGTAAGATTGTGTTACAAAGGGTGATTTGATGACTGTCCTTCAGCACAAGTCTCTTAACCTTGAGGCATGAATGAGCTTCTCTGTAGATATCTTTGTGCATGTTGGCACATCTCCACACAGGGAGAAATGAACGGTCCTTGTGGGGGAGGACTCTTCTACCTTGTCTCCTACAGATCTTGCCCCTTAGCCTTTCTCCCATTGCTAGTCTGGCCTTGCATCTCTCCACCCTATTAAATCCTAACTCTCCACTGAGAACTGTGAATTTTCTTAGTGAAGTATCAAAGCTGCTTTGCACCCTGAGCTTCAAGATAGCATGTGACACAGAATTGCTGTTCCTACGTGCTTGGATTTAACATTCTCTCTGACACAGGGGATGAGAGTCCTCCATTAGGCACAGGTTACACACTTGCAGAAATGCTCTTCTGTATATTTCTAGCAGAGAAATTACTAGTGCTGTCTAGTATGAAATTTATGGCTTAGTCTCATTCATGATTATCTGCCTAGAATAGTGTGAATTGCATAATTGGAAAGCTGCTTGCTAATGAAACATCCATCTCAAAATCCTTAAATAAAGCAAAATAGCTCACTTGTATACTTAAAAAAATCTTTTGTTTTCCTGTGAAATGGAGATATTTGAGTTAATGGGGTATTAATCTCTGTACTTTGCACTTGAAATAAATGAGGCCTAGGAAATAAACAGTTTGTGAAAGATGAAAAAGTAAATGATCACACAGATGATTCTAGATCTGTAAATTATTACAGGGATGGTTTTAAGAATTGTTACAGGGATGGTTCTAGAGCGGTATTTTATAGCCTCTAAATAGGTATGTTTTCCACTTTCAGTTTAATAGTAAATAGCCAAATAGATAGTTCATGTAAATTGCATGTTATATTTTAAAGAATTTTTTAAGATTAAAATACCATTGTGGGGCTGGGAAGGTGGCTCAGTGGTAGAGTGCTTGCCTAGCATGCGTGAAGCCCTGGGTTTGATTCCTCAGTACCACATACACAGAAAAAGCCAGAACTAGTGCTGTGGCTCAAGGGGTAGAGTGCTAGCCTTGAGCAAAAGAAGCTCAGGGACAGTGCCTAGACCCTGAGTTCAAGCCCCACGACTGGCAAAAAAAAATGCCATTGTGCATTTTTACAACGTAAGTAGAGTACTTAGAATACTTTGTCAATGATTCTAAGTAAAGGAACAATATAAAACTTAGAGTTGAAGAGGAACTCTATATTGTTTAAAGCTCTTCCTAATGTTTGGAGGGAAGATCCTATAATAATACGCTCTTATATATTCTCATTTTATTTCATTTGTTTCTGTATTTTTATCTTCATCTTTACTACTCTGTCTAAGAGGAAGATGAGAAAGTAATTAAGTTTGTACACTAAGTGCTAGATCATATTATTTTAGGAATTAGCTCATTGAACCTCTTCAGGCTTTTTGTTTTAAGGTTAAGTGGACAAGGACAATTAACAAGCCAATGAGAAGAGAGCAAAAATCCAAGAGCAAAGGTATTTGGGAGAGCCTGTTAGTAATCTTTTTTTTTTTTTCTGTTTGTTTTCATTCTTTAGGTTTTATTTTCCTAATATAGCTTGTTTTGTCTTTTTTTTTTTATTGTAAAGATACTATACAGAGGGTTACAGTTGCACGAGTGAGGTAATGAGTACACTTCCTCTTGAACATTGTTACCCCCTCCATTGTTTTCCCCCTACCATCCCCTCCCTCCCTCCCTTCCCCGAGGTTCTTTTTTTTTTTTTTTTTGATTGTGATTAAGTGATTACATAATTTCCGGAAATTCACAGTATTGTGGAATAATGATGCTCATTTAAAGTCACAAGTTCATTCTAACTTTCCTGGAGCAAATTGTCTATCAGTCTGTAATATATAACGGTGTTCACATGTTATATACCATATATGTGATCAGCAGCATGGGGATATTTAGTAGTGGTTCAACCAGATAAGTGGGAGTTCTTTGTTTCTTAAGTCCTGTTAGTTTTGTCATATCACCTAACATTTTGGATTTAGCATCCACTTATCAGGGAGACCATGTACTGTTTGTCTCTTCGTTCTTGGCTAACCTCGCTCAACATGATTCCTTCTAGCTCCATCCATTTCCCTGCAAATGCCATTATTTTGTCATTTCTAATGGCTGCATAATATTCCATTGTGTATAGATACCACAATTTTTGGATCCATTCATCTGTGGTGGGGCATCTAGGTTGTTTCCATATCCTAGCTATTGTGAACAGTGCTGCAATAAACATGGAGGTGCACATGTCCTTGTGCATTGGTCCCTGTTGTTCAGGGTAGATGCCTAGAAGTGGTATGACTGGGTCGTAAGGGAGGTCAATCTTTAGCTTTCTAAGGACCCTCTAGACTGCTTTCCAAAGTGGTTGTATAAGTGTACATTCCCACCAGCAGTGTAATAGGGTTCCTCTTTCTCCACATCCCCTCCAGCATTTGTCGTTGGCTGATTTGTGGATGTGGGACATTCTGATTGGGGTAAGGTGGTATCTCAGGGTTGTCTTTATTTGCATTTCCTTCACCACCAGGGATGATGAACATTTCCTCATGTGTTTCTTTGCCATTTTTATTTCTTCATTTGAGAAGTCCCTCTTTAGTTCCCTTGCCCATTTAGTAATTGATTTGTTAGGTTTGGGAGGGATTAGTTTCTTGAGTTCCCTGTATATAAAGGATGTTAACCCCTTGTCTGATATATTGCTGGTAAATATTTTTTCCCAATTCGTTGGTTGTCTTTCTAGCTTAGTTGCGATAGATTTAGCTGTGCAGAAGCTTTTTATTTTAAGGTAGTCCCATTTGTCGAGTCTCTCTCCAACTTGTGACCCTGGGACTCTGTTCAGGAAGTTCCTTCCTGTGCCTATTAGTTCAAGTGCCTCTCCTACTCTGTCCTGCAGTAGTTTCAGAGATTCAAGTTTAATGTTAAGGTCTTTAATCCATTTTGAGTTGATGTTGGTGCATGGTGATAGGCTGGGGTCCACTTTTAGTTTTCTGCATGTGGCTGCCCAGTTTTCCCAGCACCAGCGGTTGAAGAGGCTGTGTTTCTTCCATTGTATGTCTTTGGCTCCTTTGTTGAATATCAGCTGGCTGTAGGCCTGTGGAT